TATACTATGATCAATATCTACTCATGCATAGTTCATTTCACAGTTTTTGGCGGGTCACGCTAAAACTACCGGCATCACTTTTATACATCCATCTCCCTCACACTTACATATTTAATATGCCTCTACGCACGGACGTTTGTGTAAGCTCAGATGTACGAGTAGTTGTAGTCACCGTTCTTGGAGGGTCAAAGTAAGGACTACCAGCATCCCTTTATATATCTCTATCTCCCTCATAAATACACATGCTACCCCTGTGTGTAAACGTATGAGTGCCCTTCAGTCATATTTGTCAGAGTGCAATTTGAGTTGTCCTGTTATTAATCTTCAATATAAAATATAAAGTTCGTGCTAAATTTATTAGAATATGTCCAGGAAGAGAATGAAAAACAGCGGTCCCTTGTTACCCACTCCATGCGTACGGGAGAGAGTAGCAGATGCGGTGAAGATTGGCCTGCGCAGTGTTCAGCAAATAAAATCAGAACATAATAAAGGGTTGCTCTTAGTAACACCTGGGGAAACTCACGAAATTTAAAAATGCAAGGCCGATGATGCCGTCAAAGCAGAAATTAGGAATACTTTCTACGATATAAGAACTAAACGACAACATATCACGACCTCTCCGCCTATGGTACGGAGAGTCGATCTGTTTATTTATTTCATAAGGTTTTAATGACGTAACCGCCAAGAACGGTGACTACAACTGTATGCGTATGTTAATTTCGTTTCTCCACCTCGAAAATGTTCTCACCAACGTATGGGTATGATTGATATATGCTTGTTACTGTCTGTGTGACAACCTACTTGCGATGGATCTTTGTGATAGAAGACATAGCGGCACCTGAAAATACAACTAAACAATATAGATAGTGTTTATCAAAATTATTAGTGTATTCTGAGAAAGTGAGCGAATTTCAAGAGCATTTGTTTTTAAGATCGGTTTGCAGTTCTCCTATGGAGCTTCAGCTCCGCACATTTTTCAGTTAGATGATTTCCTCACATATTTCGTAACGAATTGATGACGTAACCACCACAAATCGTGGAAAGAACTATACACAGCCTATATTTTTTATAAAGATATCCAAATGTCCACCATAAATTGAAGTTGTACGACTTGTGGTTCTACAAAATTCTGCCATATCAAATTTATTCTACCTGCAGGATTAAGTGAAAACATGACGGACCTCAGTATACAAGAAGTTATGAACCTGTGCTTTTGAATTGAATAGTGACAACCTCAAACACTTTTTTTTCATCTCAAGAACAGACACGAATGTGATATTCTTAAGATTTTACGAGGTCACCTATAGAGCGTTGTGATAATATTTATATTGGCTGAAGAACTACTAACCTACAACCTGGTAAAACGGAAAACCCGCAAGCTCGAGCAAGCCTTGAATCTAAAGGTGAAATCACGGGACATAAGGTACTATCTATCTATTGCGCTCCAGCATAGTGGTACTTTCCTCTTACTGATTCCTCCAGACCACACATTCACTCCGAGTCCACACCAAAACAGCCACTAATGTTTTATGGGGTTCAAGGGCGATGAAAATTAATCTTATCTGGACGCAGCCGGAATTCACTGGGAATGAGGGATGTAAAGTTAACAGCTGGTTAAAGTGCAGCGTGTTTCGAGAAGGTGTCTACTTGGTGGAAGCTGTCTGCCATCAGGCGAAACGTCTGGAAGTGAAATTTACTGGAAATGAACATCCGGTTGCGGTCAGCTCTGTTCTCCTGTTGCTGCGGTCAGTCGCAACTTATCGACAGCAATTATGAGCGCTAGACAGTTATATTGATTTGTATTTTCGTGCACTCTATTCCGAAATATATTTTCAATTGGAAACGTTCGTTTAAAGATGTATTATACCTATGTATATAACTTAACCAAACATATTTGTACTTAATGTGCCAGTATATGCGTGCAAGTTTTATAACACAACAACATAATTTGCCTGACGGCATTTAAACTTGTCATGTCAAGAAATTGATATTGGTAATCGAAACAAGATCAGCACAGCCCAACTAACAATTATCACTCCTATTAGAGTTGCAAGAATGATTATACAGTATTCCTTACACAGCACTGTATACTGTAAGAACATTGGCAAAACCCTCTTAGAACAGCTATACAAGCGGAATGGGCACACCTAATGGGACACTTCAGTCATTTAAGAGGTTGTATAAGGGCTGCAGGTAACAGTTATACAACAAAAGTGTAAGCCCCTTGCAGCCGCTATAGGACATTTGTGTCAGTGCAAGATTCAGTTTTTGTCAAATATACAACTATTCTGTTGCGTGATTCTACTTTATTGCAACCAAACTATTTCTTATGTATTGCATAGACGAAGTAAAGAATATATAACTAACACATTACAGTCATCTTGTTTACTTACATATCGGCCATTGTGAATTTCATACACAGGTATATGATAAACTTCTACACTGTGATATAGGGTTATTGTATTACTTGCGTAGCAAATTTTATTGTGATTATCGTGCATAGTAGTTACGCAATTCCTACGGGCTTCTTATTTGATGCATATTTTGATAATGATCAAAAGTATGTCTAGATTTTTAAGATGGAAAACTGAACTTATCTGCGTTAAATTTTCCACAAATCCTATATTTAGACACAATTACACTAATGTTTATCACTTTATATCAGTAATTTCGAACTGAAACATAATTATTTAATATTAAATAGAGGAATAAATGTTTGCCCAATATGGCGGGTGGTTGTGCATAATCATGGCATCGTCCATGTTGTCTTTGGTTTATTAGAATATGTTGGTGTTGCCTGCAAGTGTTATACAACAATTTGACAGATGTCTGAAATGAAATACCGACAGAGTCGAATGATTTACCCAGAATTTGTACCAGATCTATATCTTCTGTTTGAACAGTTGATAAAACCTTTTGAACCAATATGCATGCGTTGTTTGTCTTAAATCATTGGTTATAGCATTTTAACAAAAATATGACAGCAGAAAGTTAGGTTATGGTGAAGTTGTATACCAACATATTTAGCATATGTACAGCCTTTAACAGTTACTAAACAACAGTTGTATAAGTGCTTCCGTTGGGAGCAACTTGTTGGCTAAATTAGTAAATTAGCTCAGCAAAACAACAAGGCTCGGGTTTGTTTTATAAACGTTATTACCATGGATGCCACAACACAATCATTTTGACTAACGTGCAAATATGCCATATAAAATAGTTGTATAAACGTTTATGCAACAGTTAAAAATTTGTCCTATAAGGTGTTGTATAACTATGCTAAAGAATATTTTAAACACCTCATTTTAGAGCAAATATGTTGCAGAAAGCAAATTTGCATTCCACACAACATTAAGCCAGCATTTTGGTGTTCAGGCAACAACAATAGAGAGCTTTTATGGCTGAACGGTTCTTTTACCAAAAGCTTATAGCACTACTTTGCTAGTTGGGAGGGCTTAGTACACATTTAATGAAAATATAACTTGTATATTGCTATATTTATATTTGATACCTCACAAAATTCAAAATTTTAAGTGAAAATCAATATGGATTTACAGAAGGGAAGGCTACATCGGACGCACTAACTAAAATTGTAAATCAAATACATCAAAATATTGATAAAAGAATCCCTTCAATCTGCATTTTTGTTGATCTAAAGAAAGCTTTCGACACAGTTAATCACAAATTATTATTAGAAGCATTGGAGAGAATTGGTTTCAGAGGAAACGCGTACTCACTGATCGAAAGTTATTTGTCAAATTGTGTTGGCAAAATAACTAGTTTCGCAGATGATACTGCAATATTATATGAAGGCACTGACTGGTCTGATCTGAAAAATGTGATTGAAAATGATTTTATCAAAATTATTCGGTGGTTTAACAGTAGAAAATTAAGCATTAACTACTCTAAAACACATTTTTTACCATTTGGATCTTATGCTAGACATCTGCCAAATTACACAAATTTCTCCTTCAATATTAATGATCAAAAAATGCAAATTAATAGAGTGCCCAACATAAAATACTTTGGAGTGGTCTTGGATCCTCACTTATGATGGGATATCCATGTCAATTATATTTTAAAGAAAGTTAGATTTGTATCCTACAAAATTAAATACCTTGGGAATATATTGACAGAAAAATATCTTCGAACATTATACCATGCACTGATTGAGCCTCATCTCACATATGGTATATTAGCATGGGGAGCTGCATGTTCCTCACATATCTATAATTTAGATGTTTTTCAAAAAAGTATTCTAAAAATGATATCTAAAAAACCGAAACTTTATCCCACTGAAAAATTATACGCAGATGTTCGAATATATGATATAAGACAGCTTTATTTCTTACACAGTATCACTCACTACCATAAATTTGTAAACACCGACCAAAAAATTAAACATAATCATTATACCAGGTACAAAATTCGTGGCACAGTAGTTCCTCAACCGCATAAATCTATAAAGCAGAGATCATATCTCTATTTAGCGCCTAAATTTTATGAAATTATACCTAAAGACTTAAAAGATTTACGTTTCGGAAATTGTTTCAAAAGAAATTTAAAAAAGTGGCTACATTCTATATCTAGGACTGAAATTCATAAACTCATAAATACGAACATCAACTAAATACATAATCTACTGTAGCTAATTTTTGTCCTTTTTTGTCATTTGCATTCTACAGTTTCAACTTAAATTTATTGGTCCATGTACAGGCGATGCCTTCTATTGGGCCTGTTTTGATTTTATATTTATTTACTCATATTGTTTGTTATCTTTGTACATTGAGTGAATAAATATTATTATTATTATTATTATATATAACAATGGACCCGTAAGAGACATTCGTTAGCTTAGACCCGCACAGCAAAAGCACAGTATGTTCGTCTACCTCCATTAGAAGCGCTTGTATAAATAAACTGGTGTAGTGTCATCTCTCAGCACATAGTACCGTTAACGGACGGAACAGCATAGTTCTGTGGCTAGCTAAGCACGATAAGATATGGAAAATGTTGTCGATGTTGAGTATTCGCCTAGTTTGTGGTCCTATAATAGTCTGCTTCTGGTCTGCTTATTAACGACTAGTGTGAACAGCTTGGCCTGTCTGCGAGACAACCTCAGGATCCCTGTTCTTGAAAACAAGGGAGTAGAACTGCTGAAAAAAGGCGGTGCGGTTGTCTTCCCTGGGTAATGGACCGAAATTCTGACAGATGTTGTCACTTGTCAAACAAGTTTGAGAATGGATTGAACGCTTACATAATAATGGGTAAAGCTGCAGAAATTTAGAATTTAGTTTTCATATGATTATGCCAAGTGAACCCTTTGTTCAAGATGACACCGAGACACTTTCCCATCGGATGGTTATTTTTAATCAACCACCAAACCTTCCGCTCTGACGCTTCCTCCAGTGCACAGTTCAGCCTGCAATGGACTAGGTCACCAGATCACGACTTGGCTATCCATGTAGTATCGTCACCATAGATATACACTCCACAGCTGCTGGGAATAAGGACCTCATAAATGTACAGTAAGTAGAACATTGGTGCAAAAACCGAACCCTGAGGGACACCGGCTCTGATGGGCCGTGTTGCCGACGGGTCATTGTCAATTTTAATCCGAAATGTCCGACCTTTGAGGAAGGTTTTAAATAATTTTAAAAGCCAAACAGGAAATCCCTTTTGAATAAGTTTAAACAGAAAGTCCGCATGGCACACCTCGGCAAATGATTTTGAGGCATCCAAAAGCAAGATCACAGTACTTTTGTTAATGCTGAATCCTCTGGGTAGGCATTCCATCAGCCTAACCGCCTATAACTCCATAGAATGTTCAGACCAAAAGTCGAATTGCTCGTCGAGGTCTTATATAATGATCTTATGAGAACCTGTTAAGGTGATGTAGAATCACGATTTCAATGAGGTTAGGTGGAGCAGACTGCAGGAAAGTGGGACGATAATCCTGAGAAAACATTGAACATAACTTCTTTCTAATTATTATAACGTCAACTGTCTTCCATGCGGATGAAAAATACAGACAGCTTCAACATCTTATTAGTGGTTTTATCTTCCCTGGGTGCCTTGCGGACCTTGAGGTCTTTAATATGACGTTGAAGCTCCGCTGCAATGCGGGATCTCAGGAGATTCTGCCCTTGTGCTATGCAGATCTTGGCTTACAGAAGCTTCCAAAGAACAACATTCTGATGAGGTAAAATTACCCATGGTAGCGCAAGTTGTTCTCGCTTTTCAAATGAACAAGATCAGAAAAAGAAGGATTGGTAGCCCAAGTGACGTACGTTTTGCTTCCTGGCTTCAACAATTCGGAATGGATGTGCATCGAAAACACTGAAGTGAAAACATATGCCCATCACAACCTACCACGACAGGTAGCAATAGCTGGCTTCCGTGGCGACGATGGTTGGTACCTCGTAAACACGAGGTCTTCTGACCTAAGCCAAACATGTGGCTGCTGGCTCTTCTTGGTGGCTTCTAGTTGCATTTTTCTTTTCATCCTTGTTTTCCGTCAGGTTACATCCGTATCCAGATGTGATGGATACGGGTGTACCGGATGTTTCCTCGAAATCTCATCAGGGGTCTGTTCTGGTCACTTGTTGTTTTTGATATATATTACGTATCTGTCTAATACTGTGAGTTTCTGTGAATTCCAGTCTTTTGCGGACGATTCTCAACTGGTCCACTATTTTGATAGTGATGTTATGGATATCGCGTAGGCATCAATAAACCATAATATTCAAAAAGTGTAAGACTTCTCGAATAACTACAACCTGTCAATAAATCCTGGTAAATAAAGGGTGTCCCAAAATTAACGCAAGATTTGAATTAAATAGAAAATGCCATTTTTAGTCTTTTAATAGTTATATTTTTATTGACTCATAAAGTACATAGGATAGGGTTATGTATGGAATAACACATCGGACAAATGGCCTCCACGGCTTTGCATGCACATGCGCACTCTTTTGTCGAAATTTTCCATGACCCTTCTGCATAAATGTGGCTGAATTTCGTTGATGCAGCGTTGAATCTCCTCCTTTAATGCACGGGTGGTTGTGGGCTTGTTGACATAGACTTGTGATTTCAAATAACCCCATAAAAAGAAGTCTAATGGTGTTAAATCACACGATCTAGGAGGCCAATTTTGATCACCGAAACGAGAGAGTACACGACCGGGAAATGTCTCATGCAGTAATTGAATTGTTTCACGGGCTGTATGACATGTGGCACCGTCTTGTTGAAACCACATATTGGGTACATCAATATCATTCAATTTTGGCAGAAAGAACTGTGTAATCATGTCGCGATATCGAGCACCAGTAACAGTCACTGCTTGACCAGCATCATTTTCAAAAAAATATGGCCCAATTATGCCTCCAGCCCAAAATCCACACCAGACAGTCACGCGTTGTGGGTGCATTTCTTTTTCGACAATCACACGTGGGTTCTCCGAACCCCAAATGCGGCAATTTTGGCGATTGACAAAGCCATCAAGATGAAAATGTGCTTCATCGCTTAGGATGATTTTGCTTGAAAAATCAGGGTCCATTTGTTGATGTTCAATAATCCATTCAACAAACTCTCTTCTCTCTGCATGGTCATTAAGCTTCAATTGTTGTGTTAATTGAAGTTTGTAAGCATGAAGACACAGATCTTTGGTGAGTATACGCTGTAGAGAGGTTCTTGACATTTGCAATTCTTGTCCACCACGTCGAATTGAGGTTCCTGGATTGTCCGCAACACTCTCACGCACTGCTTCGATATTCACATTTGAACGGCTTGTTTTTGGACGACCAGTGTGTTTGGCGTCTCCAACGGATCCAGTCTCCATGAATTTTTCAATTAATCTCTTCACAGTTGACGAAGTTAAAACACTATTCCGGCCATATTTTGTATGAAATTTTCGAACTGCAGCCGCCAAGCTTTCACTATTTTTGAAATATTCTTTAATAATGAAGACACGTTGTTCTATCGTGTAACGCTCCATTTTTCATAACCCTATACTGTTAGCTGTCAAATTGCTTTTTTTCAGGGTTGCCAACACTTCACTGCACAAATGGCGGCAAATTCAAATCTTGCGTTAATTTTGGGACACCCTTTACAACTTCTATTTTTTGTTCAGATTGTAGAAGAAATTAGACTCAATTAGCTGTTAAAATTAGATTCAAAGACTGTACCCGGTTGGTGAGGGCAAAGATTCTTGGCGTAATAATCGATTTCAAACTAAGATTCACTAGTCATGTCAAAAACCTTTTAAAGAAAACCTTCTTGATACTGAGATCACTATGTGCCAATAAGGCAATTTTTTGTTTTAAACTAAGGAAAATATTGTGCTAATCTTTGATTATTATACATGTCCTTAAATTCATTCAAGACAGTTGTCAAATCTCATATCTCGACTCATAGTCTATATTATTATCAATTTGGGCCTGATCAAGCCAATAAGCAGAAACGTATGACACCAATCTTTTCATTTCTATTCCTGTTAATTTATTTAGGACATGCTCATGATTTTCATTTAATTTACCATATTTCAAAATAGCAGATTGGCGGGCTATCAATGTTGAGCGTTTTTGTACATTGAATCGCTAATAACTCATCAACTTATTATCGTAAGGTATGTCAATCTTCTTATTTTGACGAGGCATATCTGTATGCGCAATTGAATATGGAGCATTTCGTCTAAAAAATTGAGATATACAGGGTGTCCAATAAGTACCACGACAAACTTAAGGAGAAGGCAGGCTTTGGATTGAACTCCCAAATAACAAAAACTTACCTATATAAAAGTGTTACCGTTTTCGAGAAATTGAATTTTTTAAAAACGAGCCTTTTCAAATAAGGTTATACTTTGTATATTTTTTCTATAAAATACTTCTAGATAGTTGCTTCATCTTATACAAATGCAATGTAGTTAAAAGGTATCAAGGAACCATGATCAAATAAGGACTATCTTCGGATGTATAACCGTGTGATATTTTTTCCTCAACTTTGACCATCTGTGGTGAAACAAAAATGTACTGGGTTATAACTACATTATATTGAATAAAATGATTGCTCATTGAATACAGATTTCAGAAAGGCACCACACCTAGTATTTGGAATAGAAAAAAGTGATAGCTGTGTTTGTAAGTGACTGACACACACCACAATGTAATTATTGGACTTAAATTCAAGTTGCATTAGTCACCGATCTGTGACATGCTAAATAGTACAAAGCTAAATTATTATTACCTGCTCCTGATATGATTTTATGAAACTTACTGAAATTCGGACTCGAGTCAGTACCAATACAAAATAATAATTTTTTATCATGGTTCCTTAATATCTTTTAACTACATTGCATTTATATACGATAAAGCAACTATCTACAAGTATTTTATATAAAAAATGAACTTATTTGTACATGCAGCTAAAGACCACAGATAAAGAGGTACGTTTTTTTAAATTTAAGAAAAAATTCAATATCTTAAAGACGCTGATATTTTTATTTTAGCTTGCTGACATGACTTGTTAAAAAGTGAGGTGAAGGAGGGACCTATTTGAAAAGCACAATGTCATCCGTGAACATCTGGGTAATGTTACAAGACGGGAAATGCATACAACTTTCCACACATTTAAGGGTCGTATACTATGATACCACTAATACTGTATAGCAAGAAGTCCGTAACATCTGCTAATTGCTGCCATCTCGCAGGAGAACTACCTGTATTGCTCTCCCAAATCATAAATCAAACACCTTTGTGGGAGTAATGGCACACCAGCTCTGGAATGTTAGCGATAACATACCGCTCTTGTTTCAACACGTCCCTTGAGTGATATCCCATAGCTACTTAATGTCAAATCATTTATATAAGATCCTTGCTGACGTCCGGTTGTCCTGACCTTTGCTTGTTGAAATAAGCAACACGCATCACTCCCTTAATGTGAAAAACTTCGACAGGCCAGCGTTGAAAAATGAAAAATCGTGTTGGAAAATGGGGTTACCGCCTTGATAAACTCCATCGACGGTCATTTTTTTATTGACTGATGTACGTATATAGTGGATGGTGGCAGCTCCCTCAAAATGATGTATGGACGACCCTGTTCGAAGCGCGCTGTTATTGACTTAAAACTGGTTGACATGCATCTGTTCAGGGCCTCAACGTTATCCAGCACATTAGCTGTTTTATGGATGGACCGAATTTACCCAGTGCCGGGTGAGCATCAGGATGGTACCTATGGTCCATTTAGGTATCGAAGAAACAAACTAAATTCAAGCAAATTCGCGCATACTACTTTACGTATACAAACTCCGGGGCCTGATTTTAAATGAGCTTCTACCGTTAAAATTGATTTTGATGACGACGTGTGACGATATGCTTGATTCGCTATGATAATTTTGACACTGCTATGATAATTTGAATATAGTATCAGCGAATCAAGTATATCGTCACAATGCGCCATCATTAATTTCAACGGTCGAAACTCATTTAGAATCAGGCCTCAGAACGCCGAAAACGTTACAAGCATTGAACACGCGCTGGATATTGTTTTAGTTTAATGTCTTTTTGGATAATTAGACTATAGGCAGGCAATATCAGAAGCTCGCTTGGGCATAGAAAACGGTGTCTGATAGCCGAGCCAAGGGTGACCCGTTTGTACCATATTGATACAGGTCTGGCTTAAGTTTCACATTCTTTATAACGGGCGATTTTTTAAGTGGTATAGGATTTGATTTAAAAAAAAGCAAAAAAATTGAAAAAACGATTAAATCTTTATTTGAGTCGATAGAACGGTCGATATAATTTAATGTTTAAAGTTTATTTCACGTAAATGTTGGCCGCGGCTCCGCTTTAGATGGCCCATGCGCAAGGTCCAATTTTGGCACACTCTCTTCAACATATCGGCCGGTATCTCACGAATAAATGCTCCAATATTGGCTTCCAGTGCGTCAATCATTGCTGGTTTATCCCTGTAGACATTAGCCTTAACATGGCCCCACAAGAAATAGTCCAACGGCGTTAAATCACACGATCTAGGCGGCCAATTGACGGGCTCCAAACGTGAGATGAACTGTTCACCGAACTCGCCTCTCAATAGGGCCATTGTTTCGTGTGCGGTGTGGCATGTGGCACCGTCTTGTTGAAACCACATGTCAGCCAAGTCCAGCTCTTCCGTTTTGGGCAAAAAAAGTTTGTTATCATCGCACGGTAGCGCTCGCCATTCACAGTTACGTTCCGGCCATTGTCGTATTTGAAGAAGTACGGCCCGATGATGCCACCGGCCCATAATCCACAGCAAACAGTGATTTTTTCGGGATGCATTGGTAGCTCTTGCAATGCTTCTGGCTGGTCTTCACTCCAGATGCGGCAATTTTGCTTGTTAACGTACCCATTCAACCAGAAATGAGCTGCGTCGCTGGACACAATTTTTCGATAAAAATATGGATCTTCCTCCAACTTTGCCAGCGCCTATTCACCAAATTGGAAACGTTGTGGGAGGTCGTGTGGCTTCAATTCTTGCACCAGCTATATCTTATAAGGTTTTACACCCAAATCCTGTCGCAAAATTGTCCACGTAGTGGAGTAACAGAGGCCCAATTGCTGCGAACGGCGGCGAATCGACATTTCACGGTCATCACTAACACTGGCGGATACAGCCGCAATATTTTCTTCAGTCCTCACTCTATGTCTGCGTGTTGGTGGTTCAATGTCCAATAATGTAAACTGGGATCGAAATTTAGTCACAAGCGAATAGCTCCCTCAGTAAGCCGACCAAATTGCCCATAAATTGGAAGCAGTGCTCGATGCACTCTCTTAACCGAGCATGAACTTTGATAGTAAAATTCAATAATTTGCATGCGTTGTTCGTCGATTCATGGTTAAATTATAGACCAAACTCAACAAGTTTGACAATGACACAAGACACGATTCACGCCTCATCTGTCAAAAACAGTGTTGCCAAAAAGATACTAGCAAAAAAATCACCCATTACATCAGTAGAAACTGCCATTTATTTGTTGGAAGAATTTATTCGTTGTTATTTCAACTTAAAAATCCTTCTAAGTTTTGGATTTTATCCGGTTATGTATGTATTTCAGGCGTCGGGTGTTATAGCGAGTCTTCGCATCTTAGGCTCTAATTTCACACTGCGGGCTATAACAGCCCTTTTTACGCTCTAGATATCCAAAAAGCTATTATTCTTTCGAAGGTAATGGAGAGGAATAAAACAATTTAGGAGGCATCTTTTCAGCAGAACCAGAGATGACATTACTCTTTGCAAAAAATGTGTGTGCAAAAAGTCTTCGGGTTTTCAATAAAAATATTTTAAAATCATGCCAGCCACTTCGTTGCACCTTCTTGTTGTCCAAAAGGAAATAAATCTCTCTATTACGCATCAGACTACGTGACACGAATTTGGTGCCTGAAAGAATAATTGCCAATATATTTTTCTCTTAATTGCATCGTGTTTGCACTGAATATCTTTTGTTTCAATCACGTTTTGCGGTGGAGGTATAGTTCTTTCACTGAAACAAAGCAGTTACGCCATATTTAGTAAATTTGAATGCCAACATTAATGCAAAATACATCCTAAATTGGTACGTATGGTTTGAATTTCCCGGGTACAGTTATGCTGGTAACAGTTTTCTGTGTTGTGACTTTGTCGAAAAGTTTGTCAGGTAATTACGCCAACGGCTGTGGTTAATTTGTGGTTTATTTCCTAGGATTTACTAGTTTTAATTAATGTGGCAACCATGTGAGTCACTATCATTATTTGACGTTGTGACGTAGCTGCTTTGATTTAGTGAAGATACTGTATACGCCGATACCTTTCTTCTAGTCAATGCCTCTTACTCCGTAGTGTCCGTCATAAGCAAAATTGGTTCATTTCAGTTGATATCCTTGTGATTGTATGTGAATGTAAGCGTAAGAAGAATTAGTGACTGTATGAGCAAGTAGGAAGTCTGTGATGTAAAGTAATAACTATGTCGCTTGGTTTAATTCTTAACCAATCAGTCGTTTCTTTGTATGTTGGACAGCAGAGCTACTACTACAAAATGAAGTGACTGCGTGTGGGAAGTTAAATGCGAAACACTTGCCTTCAATTGGCCTGGAGACGTTACATTACGTCCCCTAGATATAAAACTTGCTTAATGAAGAATTTTATAGAAGCAATGGGTAAAAATGACGAAGGATATTTATATTTAATAATAATAATAATGTTCTTTATTTTCCCATCATATACGAACATTTTACACACAGACACATGAGAAACAAAATCATGGTATTGGGAAAACCTCAAGGGGGAGTTCACCTAGAGGTGTTCTTCCACTCAACCCTTGCCAGTAGTAGAATACATATAAGGAATTTATATCAGTCCATATACACGCCTATTCCTAAATAACCAAAATTTCTATCAAAAACTAGGTATGCGCATGGTAATCCATTAAATATGTAATAAAACATTTTTAATTTAATGATAGAGCAAAAAATGCGGAACTCTTGATAAATGATATGTGCATATTAAATGATGGTCATTGGAAACTCATTCTTCATTCTGAATTAGATTTTTCCATTGAAACCTTGTAACTGTGACTGACGAAAGGGAGGAGCGGCTTAACCAGAACGCGAAATGGCTTGCAGAACGGTTTCAAGGTCGTTGAGATGAAGATCTGTCAGGAGATTACTGCTTGTGATTGAGCCGAGAAGATACAACTCAACATAAAAGTCTCCCGAAATATTATTTTCTTTTGCTGGCAATATAAAATTTTTATCCGATATTTGTATTTAAATATGTGCAAGTATACTGAAAATAGGTTTTGTTGTCGGGTTTGCTAGAATTATGTTTTTTAATAAATTAATTCATTTTACTAATAATGTTACAGTAGCTAAAAAACAATAAGTGATGGAAAAGGTCTTATTAAGCTTGAATAAATAAACAGGGCAATTTTAGTAATTTAGTACTTAATCGTTTTTTAACGCAGTGTTATCAACTGCCTAACATTGCCCTACCTATATTTATTACAAAATATGCAATAAAACATACACGAGGTGCTCATACAGAAAATCGAGGATACCCCATACGCAAGTTCATAAAGTTTTAATCTGACAAGCGTTGCCAAAAGCAGACACGCTGATTAGCGAGAGCCGTTCACGTTTGGGCGGTTAACTCAATTGTTTCTGTGTCGTTTTTCGAACTGGTTGGCAGTTCAACAGGCTGAATGGACATCGCGGACAAGCGTTCCGTTGCTGTTGGATTTATTTGACTGCATCCAGTCTGAGTAATCTCGGGGATAAATCTGCTCGCCTCCGTATGCAACAATATGAAAAACGGCTTGCCAACGTCGTTTTGAATATAGTTTGCTAGAGAAGCGGATTAGGTATGATTTGGAAGTATATAAAGTCATATAAAAGGTGTTGCTTAAACATGCGGCTCTTACAATGACATGGACAGTTCTTCAATGGCTGAAAAGGAACTGTTTGCTTTTAGACTCAGTGGCCATAATCAACCGTATACATCATTGTTCCATGCTTTTCAGTAATCACCAGTACGGTAACAAGCGAGCAAGCGAAAATTGGTAAGCAAAAACTGATAAGTACTACATACTGAGACACCTATGTGGTTGCTTTCCATTGTTTATCTCCAACATCGTACCAGTGAATGCTAAAATGCACGAAAAACGTTGCATATGATGGTTATCGTCACAGATATGAAAAGTGAACAGATCCAAATAGGATGTTTGATTTGTGCAACTTTTGCATGGTACATCAAAGCTGCTACCTAGCTGAGCAATTAGCGATTTCCTAATTAATGAGACGCCTGTGTGGTTTGTCACACTCATCCATTCCGTTAAAGAGGACTGCTAATCAGAGAAACTGCAGTCGTCAATAATAGCGCGCTTGGTGAACTAGTTATAGATGTTACCATTTCGAGGTTTTTGATGTCAGCAAGATTGGAGTAGCTATATATGTTATAAATACAATTCTCAGCATTAAAATAATGTGACAAATACCCCTTGATGACACATTGGTTCAAAGTTTTACCAAGGTGCATTTTCAAGCACCAAAGCCTAGATTCCTAAAAATGGACCATCCGAATTAGATGCAAATTTGAAGACGTGATTAAGGATTACAGAAAGGACCCCACACAAAATTTGCGAAAAATGGGTTATTTAAAACTTCAATATGATATATTTCTCGCCTTCCTCCATAAAAGTTCTTGTAGGACCAAAGCAATCCAATGACTAGTTTCTGAGAATTAGCACGATTGAATATTGATTTTTAAACTGCGGGAGAAAGCCATTCAAATGCACCATGTACCGTATTTAGGAGACCCCTAAAAATTAGCATACAAAATTCTCTTGATAGATGTGTGAGTTGATGATGGATGTACTTGCACATTCTGGGCAGCAATGTTTTCGCTGAATGCACTGAATGAGAGCGTATGAGGGTTTTGTTTTGTCCAATAATGGCCCAGTCTCATGAGTGTCAATTAGTCCATAAACGAAATCGATAATCCACCTCGTATACAAAACTTTCCACGTAAATTTCTTACAGTTTGGGTTAAAAGCGCACCACTTTGGAAATCAGTTTTTATTATTGCCTGATTGTGTTGATGCCTATAGCGTCTCATTTCCACATTGTTCATAATATCTACGATTTGTTTGCCTCCAAAATCTGACTCCGCAGTCAGGATGACAGTGACTACAAGCGGACTTAACAGAAGCAAATTTTTGTTGTACTATTCTCATTAAGCTCGTATTTTTGATGTTATTTAAAAAGTGTTTGCATCAGTTTTAGACGATTTCAGGAAATGGAACTTCTTACATAACTTGCAAAGAAATGAGCGACACAAACCTAATGAGGCTAGATCCTTCTACCAATACGTATTATTATTGTGTTGATTCAACGATGTCACTTTGGTAGATAATAGTTGTTGAATGGGTCAACGATATAAAAATAAAACTACTTTATTTTGGTGTCAAATGTTGAATTGTAAACATATAGACTTCTTCTTCTAATCTATTCGAATTCCTTGCATACAACTGAATTTTACATTTAAAATGTCATTTTAGCTTCTGATGGCAGCATAACCACTCTTTTTAATTTCAAATACTAGATGTTCCAACCTGTAGAATGACCACTTATACCGAAAATACCATTCAAAAGTGCAGAATTGCTGTTAATATAACATAAATATACTATCAGAAAAATTGCCTACCACCTATAAGTTACTTGTTGCCTTATTCGAATTTCCAAAATAGTGTGTATGATGAGATCAGATATAAACTTCTCCTCGTTGCTGTCTAAATTTTATCGTTGTTAACAAACAAATCTATTGTACTTACTGGGTATTCTGTTGATGGCCCTGAGTGGTCTGAGCACCCTGATGGTTCGCACCGCGGACAAGTTGATGTTGTTGAAGTTGGGCAAGCCATACTCTACAGCACCAGCCAGGACGATGAATAAATCCAGGCGATTCCAGGAATCCGCTAGGTAGGAACCTTGGCCGTACACGCCCATGGCGATCATCTTGATCGTCATTTCCAGAGAGAAGAAGGCGAAGATGAACTCGTCGAAGCGCTGAAATATTTTGATGTTATAAGTAAAAGCACACATGGAAAGATATACTGTCAAGTAGATCTATTGTACGCTTCCTATATATCTCTATATTTGAAATTTTTCATTATGTTGATATATATCGTACGTTAAAACAGCCTTGATCATTTTCAACATATTTGAGTTGTGTTAGAAACCTTTGATCACTCCCTTAGGTAGACAAAGTACCGTGGCAAGGTACGGTCAGACGTCGCTGAGTCGTTCCCCCGTCCAGTAGAGGGCGAGTGAGCTTATTGCTATTAAGCCAGGAAACTTAGCGCTAAACGCGTGTTGACCATGAAAGTAGTTAGGCATACTTACATCATGTTTGTTAAGGAATAAGAATTCTGTAATTTTATTTAGGTATTCAAAGAATGTATTGAAAAGAGTTTTTTACATCAAGGCCAAACATGAATGATCCAGTTCAGACTTTTTACCAACCTATGAACGGAAAGAATAGGTTTTCGTGGCTATCTTCAAAGCTTTGTTGATAGATTGTGAAAGATTTATTCTTTTTCTAAATTAACTCTCTTGGGTCTGTAGTGACACTGTTATTTCATTAAAATGCGCAGTAATTGCTGTCAACTCAATCTATTGTATCAGGTTTAATCCATGCTTCGAGTAGGCCGCAAATCCTTCTATTCTATTTGTCGAATTTGCGACCACATCTCAAATTCTCCTCTTTGATAGGTGGAGTTTGCGTATGGATCCCAAATTTTGTATCAGGATAACAAATGAATAAATAAGTTTTTGTAGCTAAATCAGGTGGCTGATGAAGTATTTCTTGAGTTAGTATGAGAAAAGAGGCTTCATCTTAAGTTTGATTCCGCGGGTTAATAGTAAAATTGGGCCTTAGTGATTAGGAAGCTAGGAGGAGCTAGAAAAGCAAATTGAAGTCATTTTTCAGTATTACGACCTCTTCAAAATAGAGCTGAGTCGGTTCCGAACAAATCGTTCCAAAGGTAAGACACCGCAGAGGGAATTGATTGAATCGATTTCGAAATGTTCGATCCCGGTTTCGGTGATTTCGATTTTGGTGCCGGTGGTTGGATTCCGACTCTTGACGCTGGATTCGACCATTGCGATGTCAGCTCCTGACACCGTGTTGTCTTTAATAGAACAGTTTGAATGTAACGCTCTCGCAATATGAATCCTAGCACTAACGCTTTTCTTGATACTAGAATATTCAGACGAGTAATAACCAAGGCAATGACTGTCGCGCGGAATTTAGAGTACAGACGGTTTTTGGATTCGAAACCAAGTGAGTATAGTACATCAAGCAGAGGTGATAAATAAAAAATAGAACTAACTATGGAGAAATTCAAGAGGAAAAACCATTTCCGACACAAACAACGAATGGGCAGCGAAATTGTAAGCTACTTCTCCACTAAGTCACAAAAATTTTCCAGTAAAACTCTGAACCCACTGCCTGCCTGAAATGTTCAAGTCCGAAATATACACATCTAATAGAACATGGAAAATTATATAAAATGGTTAAAACCTTCTCCATCCTGCAATTCCCGTAACAGTTGAAAGGCAAAATGTCTACAGGCACTACAGGAACCGGAATCGAAAAACAACTCCGATGGAATCGTGGATCGGTTGCATGACTGTAATCGGAACTATGTATGGTTTGCCTACGTTGTAAGACACAAAATCAAATTTTTGGAACAGTCTGAAACTTTTTGTCTTTTGTCTTGGCTGCCACTGGTGAAAATGAAGTAGCGTATACTAGTAGGACCCCACAGCATACATATTGCTTTCCAAATTCCACCGAAACCACTGCACACGTTTCTGAAATTGTGTTCTCTCAAAAGCCAGGTAAGTCGACAGAAATGAGTAACAATCAATAAGCTTAGCTGACATTTGAGATATTCCGCGATCATGATACTTTCCTCGCATAAGCAGCTAAATGTGGTCAAGTATAGATAGACTCAGCATTCCTTTTACGTTTTCTGAAACTAAAGATTCTATTTCTTAAATATAATGATGCAAAAAGATCATGCTTAATTAGAATCATCTCTGAAACATTTAGGGAAAAACGTATTTGGTAATAAAGGCAATCCTATCAATACACACTACAACCCCTCAAAGGGTATTTAAAAGCTCTGAACCATTGTTCTAATACCTCAATTAGCTGCGACTGATACGTCGTGCA